GTTTTGGTTTTTGTTATAGCCTTACTTTTTCTAACAGTAGGTTTTCTTTTAATTTTGTCACGCTCCTCATTATTTGCCCATTTTCTTAGAAAATGAAGTGCTTCTCTATTAAAGCATTGCTTCCAAATTTTGATGTGCCAATTAATTCCATTATTGTAACGAAGAGCGCTCAAAACACACCTACTTTGGAAACCGTTCCTTTGAATGAGATTTATTCGTTTTCCCATATTGAAAAGAGCAATAATATTCATAAATGATTCTGCTTTGTTGGTTGTTTCGTTGGCTAAAAGAAGATGTGCTTTTAATAAAAGTAAATTTAATGCTGCGTATCCATGATGATATGAATTCGGAATGTTTGTTAATATCGTTGTTAACATCGCAAATTTCTCTTCGGCAGTTAACATGATTACCAAAAACATATGTTACACTATTTCTTAAATCTTGTTTAAGTTGTGCAACGCTTCCATCTTTATTAGTGTAAACCGCAAATTGTGCTGGATTTACCAATTTTCATCTGTTAAATATTTCCTTGCCTTTAAAGAAACGGTTCTAGTGTTCTTTTTTATGTTGTAAAGATGTTTGCTATAATTTTTAATGCAATGATTTGTGCATGACGACTTTGTTACCTGAAATTAAAAATACAATAACGTAAACTAGTTTAACAGATATTAAAATGTGTACCTACCTCTACACGGAAAAATTGTTTACTATCCACTACTCAATATGAAATAAAAATATTTTAGAACCAAATCGTTTTTGTATACAACTCCTCTACTACCTTTCAACATAATGGAAATAAATTAAAATATTAAAAATGTAATCTTTTGTTACTGTGATGTTCATAATTCTTTTCTCTAATGAGAATGAAACTCGCTTTTCTTAGAATGCAGGTAATCAAAATTAAATTATTTTAATTTCTTAATACTATAATAAGATTTACAACCTTAATCTATGAACATTATGAATTTTAAAATCAAACTACTTCTTTGATCCTCTAAGTCTTATAATAAGTATTATAATAATAAATTGTCTAGACTTAGGTACTTAATACCTACATACGGAAAGTGAAATCATTTTAATTTAATCCCAGTATTTTTTATATTGTAAAACAATGAAAATGAGAGCAATTTGTTTTTCTATCTTATGGAGTTAAAAATTCTTTTAAAATCAATAAAAGCGGTAAATATTTATTTCCACAGGTGTCAACGATATACGTCATCAAATACTATGGGATTTAAACTCGAATCGCCGAATCCAAAGTCCCAAGCTCTGCCATTTCCTTTATTAATGGTATTAATTTATATACATCATTTTTATAAATCTAAACATTTCGTTTTCAGCTAAAGCAAAAATCGGTCATTTAATTATAGGTGATTATAAATTTTCTCCATATGTAAAAAAATTAAATTTAAAAAATAAATAATATAACTATATTATTTTCTTTTTTGGTATTAAAATATTGATCTTTCCTCGTTTCCGTATCCAGATAGAAGTGATTCTACGCTAAGAACTCCGTGAGTAGCAAATAACAAATTCAACGGATCGATAATTCATTTTGGCGAGTAGATTATTTTTCAAATATTTGACTACAGGCACTACTGGTTAGGCAGTCCCGCAGTACAGTATTCGACCGCAAATCCTTTGGAGACTCTGTCCTTAAAGTTAATTTTGATAATAATATCTACAGATCTACAGATTTTTTAAAAAGAATTTAATACGTTACAATAATTATTAGTCCTATAATTATTATAATTCAGGCCTAATTAATATTTTATTGCAATAATTTTCACTTGAGCTATTGTGCTTCGAAATAATGTGCGATAAGTTAATTGAAACATACATGATCAGCGCACAGTACGACACGACAGCGATAGTACACCAAAGCAATAAATTCTTGATGAAATAGAATCAACTCTATTATTGTTAAATCTAGAAATAAAGAATGTATTACTTTAACGTAATGTGGTCTATATCTATTTTCAAATAACTTTCAATTTAAATGTTTATCGAAAAATAATTCAATATCCAAAAACTTTTACATTATATGTAATCCATTTTAGGTTGCATCCAATTGGTTGTCACCGCCTTTTCAGCTTACACAAATGGAAAAAAATTATTCGAATTACCAAAATATCCTTCAGAAGTGAGTTGCGTTGATGGACTAAAAGTTCTGAGTATGGTTTGGATTGTTTTATTACATGCTTGTAAGGTTTTGATGGAAAGACCCAGTTATAATCATAAAGAAATAACTGCTGTAAGTAAAAATTATCCTAATATATCGAGATATATGTTATTTTTTATTATTAAACTTTACTAATAATTATAAAATTTAATAAGATGGATGAATCTAGGAGCTTAGATTCGGTTAACCATTAAACAAGACAGTTTGTTCTAGAGTGATCTTTATTCCTTCTATCCTTTGACATATGACTTGACGTGACACATGACATACAAGTTACCAATATCTGTCAATATGCGCGTTCAGCCGACGCAACCGTATGGTGACTTGTTGGGTCTTCTGTACGTCACTTGTTGAGTTTTGGTTAGTTTCAACTGTTGCTCAACATCGGCACCAGGAAAATTCTATGATGACTTTTGTAAACGAAGTATTGTACTCAGTGTTGCAAACTAAAGGCTGTATTAATTCAGAGATTTCTAGTATTTTTTATTGATTTTTAACCACTCTATAGGACGATAAAGCTAATTATATGTGATTATTATATCACATTTCTTAACTTTGAACATGAATTTTGTTATTTAAATTCTAAAGTTAAACCATGATGAAAAATGTGCGTTATGACTGATTATGACTTAATATATGTTTACATGATCTTAATTTGTAACCGAAAATGATTTTATTTATATAACCACTAGAGAGGTCACAACGTATATGTATATTGTCTAATCGCTAAACCAACTTATACCGTTCAGGTACTTTTAATTGTTGACTTCCACCATATCAGAAACATGTTTTCGGTTTTAATCAACTGTTGCGTCGGCTGAACGCGCCCCATATGTAGATATACCACATACTTTGATTTTTTCTTACTATACGGAGAATGGTCTTACTGCGCAGCTTTCTGAGTGCCATTTAAAAGGAGATAGAAAACTCCGCCATTTTGACGCCTTATTACGTGTTGCCTACATCTTGGCGCAATAGTTTTAGTCATGTTTTAGTGGTTATCAGAGATAAGATGTCCCTAATCTCTGGTGGTTATGTTATAATATTTACCCAAAGTCAGTCCCTAAAGATATTATTTACGAACCTACACTTTACAAAACCATTAAAAAATAATGAATATTTTAAAAACCTTGCTTTACTTAGTGATTTTATGTTAAATCGTTTCATTTGTAAGTAACAGTAACTACTTTATTTATGTTTCTATTGTTGTATTCTAAAGCTTTTTATTTTTTAGGTCTCCTACGAATCTCAAGCACTTAACATGAACAGTGGTTACAAACCATTAATCAAATTGTTTAGAAATTATTTTTAGCTAAACTTCGTTACGTCTCTTCTCAGCATTTTCAGGAAAATGTTATTGCTCTTATGTAAAAAGGTATGATCCAATTCTTTGTAGAAGGCAAATACCAAGAAAATTGAAGCATTTACTTAAATAGATGGGAGCCGTATCAAAATCAAACGAAATAATATAAACATGTAAGTAATATTATTTACTTTTCGGAACATTTATATTACAATAATTATTTTTATTTATTTCAGGTTTACTACCTGTGGCTCATCTACATACCTGAAAGTAGAGGTAGTCCTCAGCTGCGAAAATTATCCCCTCTGCTAAATAGTATATCAGGAACAAATTTATTTGTTTTTATTTTATAGTTTCGTACTATATTTACAGCTGAAAAAATGCAAAATATAATATTAGATTGTTAAGCCACAGAGATTTTTAATACAGTTCAAAAATAAAATAAATGTTTTTTTCTTGGGACTGGCGAAAAATATCATAATATTAAGGTAAAATTATATACACAGCTTTAAAAATAATTTAAAACCACTTAACTCTATTTCAAGATGCATCCGTAATTATAACTACTTCAAAGAAGTATCTTGGATATTATTTAAAATAAATAAACGTTTCTTCTACATTTGTTGCCCTCATTTAAAATCTCAAAATATCAAGATGTAGGCTACCAGTTTAACATTTTGGAAAAATATTTGTTGCCTAACCTAGTAGTAAAGGCATCAAAATGGCCGTGCCCTATGTTGGACGTCTCTCTTGCACCGTATAGTAATCAAAGTATGTGAGATATACCTATTTAAGAAACAAACTTTTTCCTAGGCAGGTATTTTAAGAAGCTACTAACTGAATCAAATGTAGGATTGTCAAAATCATTAACAAACCAATCTTTAGTGTGAACAATGACAGATTGATCACTGTTATTGTTCAAAAACCAACAGTGAAACTGTCACTGGAAATTATATGCTAAAAGTTCAACAATAATTACTGTCTTGTTAATAAAATAGATAAAAATACCTTGTGGAATCCATCTATATAGTTCCAGGTTACTAAGAAGCTTTAAAATCTTTAAAATAAAACCAAATAAATTGAGGAGCTAACTTTCAAATGCAAGCTAGTCCATATTTTCTGAAATCGAGGTTTTGCGCGCGTTGGTAAGTTTTATCTTAATGTTATTTAATTTTAAAATCAAAAACGTTCATTTACGAACGAGTCCCATGGTTTTAGCCTTCAAAATATTGAGATTTAGATTAAAGACGAACATGTCCACTGCTCAATTTCAATCAAAGACGAACATGTCCAAAGCGTTGAATATTGTAATCACGTGACTTCTGTCTTAATATATTATTTCATCCGTTTGACAGTTTCAGTATCAAAAATTATAAGATGTGTGACATTTTTTAATATTAAGAATTAATGAGAAATTAATATTGAAAAACTTTTAGACTTGAAGTCAAACTTTTTTTAAGTGAAATTTACAGTTTTTAATACTATGGAGGACATTGAGAATGCTGTAAGAGATGGAAACATAGGTAGTAGAAAACGACGGCTACGGTCGATATTAGGGACAGTAATTTTGTCACTTTTTCCATAAAGACTAAGTAAAACCATAATATTTTTACACTTTTTAATCTTCTATAAGTATGCACTAAGCTATATAAAGCAACAAATATTATTAAAACACATTTGTAAGCTAAAAAATTAAGAATATGCATTTATTTACGACATTCTCACGTAGCCATATTGTTATTAATTTTTTAGATTTGACAGTCACACCAAAGTATATTAACCGTTGAGTAGCGACAGCTCGGGAACCGAATTCTAGTGCGCCGACGCGAAATAGAGAGGCGAGACGTCTTCTAAAGATGTAAACAACCCCTTTCACTTTAGACCGGCAGCTGATAGGAATTCGTTGTTGTGGATTTATTAGTCAAAAATTGTATTCAGCGACATGTTTAAACAACGCGAAATTTAAAGTTTGAGACAACTCGATTAATAAATAAGAAGGTCCATAAGTAATAATTTCTATTGTTATCAAAAATCAAAACCCTGTGCAACTACCAACTTTCAAGTCTCCAGCTCATCCGGACGTAGGTAAAAAAATTGAAATTTATCAATAGTGATATATATTTTTATATTTATTACATAAGTTAAATACTCATAAATATAAAACTGCCTAATGACCAAACCTTTATTATAAATGTAAACTACAAAAGAGTTTTACTTCAAATTACGTCGAGAAGTGTAAACATCACATTCAAGACCAGTTCATAATTCGAGCAGTGTTTTAGTGTGTCGTTCCGTCAATAATATCAAAAGAGAGAGAAAGAAAATTTGCACTACCCAAGATCAAAAGCACCGACGCTTTATGTCGCTACTCAACGGTTAATATACTTTGGTCACACTAAGAGCGCCTGTGCGTGATTTTAGCGATGTTGCCAATTGCCTTTTGTTATAAATAAATATATTCATGGTAATACCGTTCTATATTATTTTTTGTTTATGAATAATATGACAACTGATATTTTTATTTCTATAAATGTGGAGTTGTGAAACATAGTAATAGAACGTACATAACAGGAATGACAGTGGCTGTTTTTTTAATAGCTCCAGGCCAGATGATAAAACCAGAATATAAATGTGTTTATTTGAGACTTTTCATTTCAATTATTCAATTTGAGCTGTGTCCAGGCCGTTGGAGTATATGGGGGTCGGCGTAGCCTGGTATGAGTTGATGTTTTCTGGTGGCGGCGAAGCCGCCACTCTACGACTAATCGTAGGGTGGCGACGAGGTTTCGTTTTCTTGTTGCATATTTATGGACTGGTATGCGCAATCGCAAGAAAGTTTACGTTTTCAATTCAATTTGAGCTGTGTCCAAGCCGTTGGAGTCTATGCCGGTCGGCGTAGCCAGGTATGGGTTAATGTTTTTTGGTGGTGGCGAAGCCGCCGCCCTACGATAAGTCGTTGCTTCGTTTTCTTGTTGCATATTTATGGACCGGTATGGACAATCACAATTTTCCATTAACTACTAATTTTATCACAATCCGGCAACGTTGCAATTTGACAGAAACCATCGAGTTTCCATGTTTACAGTCGTCAAAATGCTAATTTTTATAGAAATTAAATAATTTTTTTGTCTTAAATAATGCATTTACCGCAATTTTTTTAAATGTACTATTTAAAAATGCGCCCTTTCTGATAAAAAATAAATTTCTTTAAAATTCCACTGGACCTAAAGTCGTCCGTACCCGAAAACGACAAAGTAAGGAAAGCAGAAAGTTCTTTGAGGAAAAAGAAATTGTATGCTAAACCTAGAACTTCGAATATTTTTATTCCTTGCACTCATCAAACAAAATCATTCCAATGTGTCAAGTTAATTCCACCTGATGCTTTAGAATTCAGGAATAGAATCTACAGTGTACTAGACAAAATTCGGCAAAAAAGGATGGTTTCAAACTTCTTGTTACTTGCAAAAGTGGTTGGTTGTAGGCAACGCTTTAACCGGAAGAAAGCAGCAAAGCTTAGATTATTTAATGTGAAATACACTGTTACACGTAGAAACGGCCAAACTGTTTATGTCTGCAAGAATTTTTTTCTTCACATAGTTTAGATGAAATCTTCACGCTTGAACAGCCTCTGCAAAAAAAATTTTGGTTATAGACATCACAGAAAACAGGGGTGGTGATAGAAAAAGCAACTTGTCAGAGGCTAAGAAAAATTCTGTTAGACAATACATTAGTTCCCTGCCTGCTTATGAGAACCACTATTCTAGAAAACAATCTAAGAAAGTGTTCCTTAAATGTGATCTGAATGCCAAGAAACTTCATAAAGCATACAATTCCTAACTGAAAACAATTTGCTTGTATCTTTTGCAATGTTTCGATGTGTTTTCCAAAGGACTTTAATATTGGATTCAAGAGTCCAGCAGCTGACTGTGAAAAGACTAGAAACCTCATAAAAAATGCTATTGGTGAAGCCAAAGTTAACTTGTTAATACAACTCAGAATTCATAAAAAAAGAACTCAAGCTTTTTATGAACATGAAGAAAACATTATCTACTACAACAAATGCAGCAGTTACCCAAAACTCCCATTCAAGGAGCATTTTATGCTCGGCAACTTTCCTTCTATAATCTATATATTACAGATGTAAAAAATGCTAACCCAATCTCCTACACTTGGACTGAAGAGCAAGCTGGAAGAGGGTCAACTGAAGTTTCTTCAGCTCTCCTCAACTTCTTGGAAACATGTGATTTTACTGGAAAAAAGGTATTAAAGCTCTTCTGTGATGAATGCAGAGGACAAAACAAAAACAACATTGTTATCCACACATTAATGCACTTCCTTTCAATCCACCAAGGTCCTATCAAAGAGGTCATCAGTACATTTCCTGTTCAAGGCCAGTTTCCTCCCTGCCGACCGTGTTTTTGGAGGGTTAGAGAAACTTCTTCGGAAGAAAACTACTATGGTAACAAAAGAAGAGTATTATGAGCTATTTAAAGAAGTTGGAGCCGTAAAGCAGTTGGGAACAGATTGGACACTGAAAGACACCACAAGTATCTCTACACATCTAAAGAACATAAAGAATATAAACAATAAGAAAATAATTTACTTAAAGAGAATCACAACAAAGTCTGGAAAAACTAATAAATAAAGCAATTTTCACCTTCATTTTCTCATAGTTAGATCAGAATCAATTATTTGTGTTACCTGTAAAATCTTTTTAAGGTGACTAGTTCGCGTATAAAAGTTAGCTCTCAACTATAAACTGGCGTTCTACTATCTAGTTAAAAACACGACAAATTATTTAATACTAAATAAAGACAGTGCATAACCTGAGAATATCCAAACACAAAGATTATTAAAATACACTTCTGGCAAGCTAGCAAAATTCTTTAAAATTAAACCGCCGAGTGGTTCCTAGAAAATGTTTCTAAAGTAGGCCATGACTGATAAAGTCACATATACGTCATATCACTGAATTAAATACAAACTAATATTTAGAAAAGAAGAAGAATTGTAAGCTCCAACATTCGTGATATTTCCAGGGCCTACTTTGGAAACTTTTTTGTAAATCACTTAACTATAAATATTGTCCCATTTTTGGGTTTCTACTAAGGCAGTGGTTGTGCTTGCGCCAACAATTGCAGCTGTATGTGCAAAACTACCATTTTCTATACTTGCTTGCTGCCATATTCTTAATCTAAATTAAATTTGCAGTTATTGAACTTTATTGGTTTATAAATTAATTTTTTTTTTTTAGATGAAAAATTCCATATATATTGGCATTATAGATTATGGAAATTTAGCTTGCGATACTTTTTTCGTAATAGGTGGGACGTTGGTAACTTACATACATTTTAAAAAACACAAGTCTGATGATATAACAGTTTTGTGGATTTTAAAACATTATTTTCATCGATATATTCGGTAAGTGTCCAACAATAATAGCCTAAGGCCGAAATGATGTGGTCATTTAAGTACCTACATGGTACATACAAGATTTATTCAGCATTTACCCCCTAAGGGCAGTCCCAAGCTCCAATAATTTATTATTTAAAATATATTATTATAAGATCAAACTAACTTATCTTAAGTGAAGTTCGCTATTAATTATACACTGCGCTCCTTCGAAGTAGTTGTACTCATTTATATATGAGCTAGTTGTGCACATAGTCCAAAGCCAATAACTTATAACCTATCATCATCATCTGAATTAGGGCGTGGTTCAAAGCCCACTTGTACTGAAGCTCTAGGCTTATTGTACCCCTCACAGTTTCTATCCCATCAGATTGATTTTCTTGATGAATTCAAGAATATGTCTGATGGGCGCTTTCGCGATTTCTTCAGGTTCCGGATATTGTACCCCGAAGTAACATTCCCGTTCCCATTTGAGGTTCCGGCAGTGGCATAGTATGTGAATAGGAGTTTCGTCCTCCTCTTTACATATTCTGCATAGAGAGTCATCAGATATCCCTAAGAGATTTAGGTGTCTTCTAAGGCCGCAGTGTCCCGTAAGGAGTCCTATTACGGCCTTGAGTTCGCTTCTGCTAAGGTTTAGCAGTTGATGTTGTCTGCTCGTGGATGGCCCCTCTATGAATCTTTTGGACTGTCTAAGTCCAGGAAGTTCTATCCAGAGCCTATGGTGTTCTCTTTTTATTTGTTCCTTTATAACCTAACTCTTTATATGTAGTTCACATTCTGCGGGCGTTGCTATAACTTTTTTCAAAGCTTTTTCGCAACTGCGGTGATCTGGGTAGCTATTCACTAAGTCATGGAAGCGCTCCCATGGGAGTGTTCCCATATATTTTGCTCTCTTACTCTTAGGTGGGTATATCGTGCTTACTCCGACCTAACTATGCATGTACCTGGGCAAAAAATGAGTAAGCACGATATACCCATCTAAGAGTAAGAGAACAAAATATATGGGAACACTCCCATGGGAGCGCTCCCATGACTTAGTGAATAGCTATCCTAGGATTCAGAGGGTTTGATTTGGGAGAGATTATCTTTAAAGTGTATAATAAAGATCAAACTTCACTGAAGGTACGTTCGTTTGATCTTATAATTATGCACTGCTCTCACTTCTTTAGATGATAAGTAAACATAGATGTTTTAAGACTATTGCGACTATAAGAAACCAGGCAATTTTCAATAAACTTTTATGAAAATGTTTATAAGTGTAACAAAAACAAACGAAAGTGTAATTTACAATAAACTAAATTACAATGATCTCTGTAAAAGAGGTGGGATCATGCCTTATAGGCCGTTTAAAAAAAGATTTTCTTGAGCAGCCTGCTGTGGACTTTATGATTTTTAAGTTCAGTTCGCTTTACCCAACGACTAAGTCTGAAAGGGAACATAATTGAGATCTGTATTTACCTGATCACTCAACCTTTTGAGTTTTACAAAAATTCTCTAATTTAATAAGGCTAAAAGTTTGCATCCTACTCGCAGTAAATAAAGCCAATAATGTCACTAATTTTTCTGATAATTATATAACAGGGAATTTTAATCCCTAAAGCTATTCAAAACTGTTAATGGGTTCCATTTGAGTCGTACACATACAAAATGTTATAAAAGCCTATAGCAGCAATTATTAACTTTTTTATTATTTTATTTCTACATCGTCATCGTCATCTTCTACTTTTGATATCTAAAAAATTAACATTTGACATCATTCATATCTAAGATCAACAGTAACTAGACTAGACAACAATAACTAGATCTCAACAAAAATGAAAAAAGCATTACTTAAACTAAAACAATAAATAATATTACAAAATTATTAGAGTTATAAATAAAATACAATGATATTTGTTCGTAAATATAATATGTAATATGTCATGCTCCGTAAACATTAGTATAATAGCCTGTCAGATAATTGACCAATCATCTAATGGCCAGATCTTAAAGTTGGATACATGTTGATGCTAAAACATGCTTTATGTAAGTACCTCACCTTCTAGCGATCTCTGGTAGATTTTTTGGAACTATGTTGTGATTGGTGCCATATCGTCTTTTGTTTTTATATTAGATTTGAAGGAAGTCCGACTCAGCTGACATATGTTTATAAATACGAGCTTTACTTATCATCTGAAGATGGGAGCGCAGTGAATAATTAAAAGAGGGAATATTTTAGCGAGACCACAGCTTAACAATACAGCTAAAACACTCTCTTGGCGGCAACGGTTTGCGTCGATTTCGTCGCGCATCGCTTAAGCTCCGCCTTCGAAGGGAAAAGAAGGTTTTGGCGTTCAGAAGTGTACTTAGGTAAGGTGTTGAGTCGTGCGTATAATTTCGTTGATTGTATAATTTCGTGGAGCCTATAATTTCGTAGATTTTGTTTGAGTTAAAGGTACTGTTATTATTTTGGTGACTCTTTAGCTTTGAGTAGAATGAATGAAAAAAAAGACATCATTCTGTTTGTGCAGTCAAAAGCTGTTTTAATAAGGGTTATACCTGCAAGAAAACATTCTTTAGTTTTCCCAAGGACCCAAACCGATAAGTACCACATTATAAGAAATTTTCATTGTTAAAAATATAATTTATACAGGGTGTCCCATTAGTGCGTTATTGTTCATTATTTTGTTGTAGACACGCAAGAAAGTTTTAAATAAAAGTTATATGGATTTGAAAAATACCTACATATTTTAAAAATATCTTTGGATATACAGGGTGTCACGTTTTTGCCTGGCAAATTAAAATGTATGTTTTTTAAATGGAACACCTTGTATTTTATTTTATGATGAAATTATTAACACCCTAAATTATTGTAAAGACGAATTGCTACAGAAAATTTTTATCAGGTATGTGTGTCGTTACCTTTTAATAAAAGCCTTGCGGATCCACTCCTGCGATACCTGTCTTAAATATAACAAAGATCACGTTGAAATAGATGATTTTTCTTTTTATTGCTTTTTAAAGGCATATGATAACGCCAATTCAGATACATTTGGAAATCTGCAACTGTCAAATAATGAATTTGTAGAACTAATATTCAATATTGAAAAGATATTTCAAAATAATTTTGAAGAATTGGCTACAAAAAATAACATTTGTACCACACTTTTAGAATTAATTAACCCAATACCCTTTAGTCATCCATGCTAACGTTTTCCAAAAGAATAACTTATTTTATTGTATGTTTAATCTCAATAACTAAAAAATATACTGACAATTAGTTTGACAGAATTGTCATTTATTTAAAATTTTAAAAATAATAGCAGTCGGTTGATCAAAATATGAACGGTGATTGGCGAATTTATTTTTTTGCAGTGTTCTCACTACCTAAAATGGATATGAAATATATTCGTTCAATTGAAGGCAATAGCATACTTTTTTGTTTTGTAATCTGTGCATGGATATTAACCAATCTACGCACATACTACAAAACGAAAAAGTATGTTATTGTGTTCAACTACGAATATATTTCATATCCATTTTAGGTAGTAAGAACACTTTAACAAAATTAAATCTACAAATCACAGTTCATATTTTGGTCACCCAACTCCTATTATTTAAAATTTTTTAAATAAGTGACAATTCTGTTAAACTAATTGTCAATATATATTTTAGTTATTGATATTAAATATACATTAAAATTTTTGTGCAGACTCGATAAATAATAGCATTTTTGTTTCTATTGTGTCCACATTTAAAAAAAAATAAATTTTAATTAAACTACATGATACTAATTTAATTACGAGTATTAAAACTAAAGTCCTGAAAGTTTCGGTGAAGATGAAGACAGAGCATCTGCCTTCCACGCGAAAAGTCCGGGATCGAATCTAGGCCGAGGACTAATTAATTTTTCATGTTTATTTTATTTTATAAATTAGTCAACTTCGTAAATTATTTTAAAATTAGTTATTTTGTCTAAATAACCTAAAATAATTTTTTAAATTTGTAGATTTTCGTTAGTGGGTCGTAGAAAAAATATACTGACCATATCGAGTAGATTGTTCATATCACAATCAGACGATTGAGTTCTCCGCCTACGACGTCGTGCTCAAACTTCGTCTTTGTGTGATATGGCTATCATATCCACCCTTGTTGAACAAACTACAATTTATTTGTTTTCTTGGTTTAAGTTTTACATCAGAAATAGGAATTAAATTTTCAAGTTTTCTTGTAAAAATCGATATTACTTTCTCCAAGTACAAATTTAGTACCTACCTAAAATAAGTACTAATTATGTTATATCTTGTAATATTGTAATTCAAATTTCACATTACTGTAAAGTTTTAAAATTTCCTACTTCGGTATGGTCAGATAAAAATTGAATATATTATATTAATAAAAACTGTCAAAGTATAACTTCTACAAATCTGTATTTCAAATAATAAGAATACATCTAAATATAACCAATATTGTTAAAACAAAAGCACACATTCTTTATAATTCCAAAATACCATATAGTTCCCAGACCTCAGTCGAAGCATTCGTTTATCTAGGTATAAACCCTTTGCGCGAAGAGTAACACTTGCCAGAGTACACGGGGGTACCACTTGATTTGCATCCACGAGCGTGACACAATTCTTTAACAATTGAAGCCCTTGGTGTAAAATGGATCCAAGCCACAATTTGTCGTGAAGTGACTGTTTTAGCTCAAAACATTTGTTAACGAGTATTTTACTAGTCATATATAAATTATTTTACCTCTAATCCGAAAGATGTGCTATTTTTCGTAATATTTATATTTAAATAATTTTTTTAATTATATTTGAAAGATTTAAAACAAATTAAAAATGTAATTTCCCAAAACTTACTTAATATGGCATGTGACCAACCTTATTACGCCAAGGTTTTCAATTTTTTCAATAATAAAAAAATTGTTTAATCCGGGCCCGACTTTTCCCTTGAATCTAACAGAGATAGCACCATTCCGTCTTGCTTGGTTCTCGACCGCCAGATCAAAGACGCCGACACGGAGTTGTGGAGCTGTATTGTATAAGCTGTGGCGAGACCTTGAACACATGTTTTATTTTTTTTTTTATTTCGAAGTATAAATAATAATATATATCGCTTGATGCTCAGGGGCGACTCGTGATAATTTATTTGTTTTAACACCAAATTCAAAACTAAACCTTGTTGAAGATCTTACACTATGATTTTTTTTTAATAACATGGCTTTACAAAACATCAACAAATGAAAATGCAATTAAAAATAAAATAATTCTTTTTATTTTAGATTGGCCCCTTCTCTAGCAGGTTTAGTTCTTTTCTCTGCAACCTTATTGAAATATACCAACTCAGGTCCTAACTGGCCCGAAGGCATGGCAGATCTATTAGGTCACTGCGAAGAAAATTGGTGGTCGACCTTATTATTCATCCAAAATGAACTAGATCACACGAAAATGGCAAGTTTCTAATTTATTGAAAAATTTTGAGTTTCAATAAAAACTAAAATATTTCTACTTTTTAATGGATAAATCGGGTAGGTAGGACGGATAAAAAATGTTTTGAATAATAAAATAATATATCTATTTCTTTATAGAAACTAACAAATTTAAAGCGTGTCATCTCAAAAAAAAACATAACCTCAAAAAGTTAAACAGATAAATCTCGGGTAATCTTTGTAATCATTTTATGAAATTAAAGATATTAAATTTAACACCATATTTAATATAATGGTTTTTAAAAATCAAAAAGCATGGCCTTATCAGCGGATCACCTTGATTAATATAAAGTCGTCTTCTCCTCTCTAAATTTAGAAATTATTAAGACAATCAAAAATGAATCTCGATTAATTAGCACAGAATTGTCATCTCAAGAAAAGAGATGATACCAAAGAGGTGTTTGAAAAAAAATGGTATTATAATAATAATATTATAATAATAATAATAATAATAATACTCTCCCTAATTCACCCCCTTACGAGTGAATTTTAATCCCAATAGCTAAGCTTGTGCGAGGAAAGGGACGGATATTATTATTATTTGCCGTGGCGCTCCGGGGCGACTTAAAGATAATTGATGGTGTCATTTGACTTACAAGTGAGGAAACCCCGGAAAACCTCACCCACCATCATCGAGACGGTAATGCATGGCGATTTTATAATCTGCATGTTATATCAACAGAAATTGAATTTCTGTTAATACGGCACACATCAAATCCTATACCGAACCATGCAATTTAATTAAGAATTCACATGGTCTGGTGTAGGATCCGAAGCCTCTCTGTCTCTGAAAGATATACCGTTACAACCTGGGTTGTAGTAGCCGTTGTAGCCTATTCATCAGTCCCATGGTGGAACAATGCCAAAGGAGTAACAGCTATCAGGAAATTGGAAAATGTTAAATAGAAGTACACACACTGCAGCAATGGAGCTACTGCTAGGTCTTTCTACATTACACTTATGGTAAACAAAGAGGCTATGGCGCCGTCACAATTGAATTTGGATGGGAACTTTCACGAAAAGAATACTATATAATGATACTTATTTAAAAAAATTAAAACAAAATTTGATGTTTATAATGATATCGGATAGAATATCTGGTAAAAATGACTTTATGAAACGTTTGTATAACTACATATTGGATAGGGCCAAAAGCCGGAAAGATACACAACAGCATAGGAACTGAGATTTACCACGCGAACTCAGAAAAGACCGTTATTCTAAACCTATGGTTATTGGAAACAATCTTCCAGTAACAGCAACAGAAAACTATGCATCCTAAATGACTCTTAAAAACAAAATAATATTTTTTATGAGAGACAGCTCAGCCCTTAAAGCTATGCAAATAGTATTGGAATACTAACAGTCCCTCTAGACTCTGGCAGAAGGAAATAAGGTAACAATTGAATGGATGTCGGGACATGAGCGGGTGTTGGGAAACGACAAAACAGACCTAGCCAGAAAGAAAACACACATGTGGTATTTTATATCAACATGATAAACGTTTTACTAATGAAACACGTTAAAATTTCCTAAACTCAGTTTGTGTACAATATTTATAACAAGATCCATCCAAAAGCAGAAAAACTGTTAAACCTTTGCAGGGAAGGAAGTCAAGATTGTTATATACGGGACACTGCGGCGTTAAAAGATACCTAAATATCTGACGATTCCCTATGTAGAAAATGTGAAGAGGATGCTGAAACTCTCATTCACATACTAAACCATTGCTGAAATCTTAAATGGTCACTTCGTGGTACAATAACTAGAATCCGTAGAAATCAAGAAAGCGCCCTTCAGACATATTCTTGAATACTTACATCAAGAAAAATAACCTGATAGGAAGGAAGCTGATAGGACCAGGGGCGGATGGGCTCACCGTGAGACTGAAAGATTTCCTGGTGCACTGGTTCTACAAGCGCTACCGCAGAAACTGCAGAACACGTACGTATTGTGCTACTGCGAAGGTTTATCAAGACTGAGATTCCTTACACTTGGAAAATAAAAACAACGAGCAACTAGCTATGCCCTAGAAAGAACTACTTCCTAGTCTATAGAGTCTACTGCAAAAGACCGAACTAGACACGGTACTTTAAACAACGATTAAAGGATATCCACAATAGATCTGAAAAGGTATAGATGGGGGAGGCCACATGGCATATATTCCTAATTAAATCAAATATATTTTAACACGATTTGTTGTTAGGTTATTTTTGTTTTAATTAAGTTATTAATAAGAAAAAGAAAAAATCAAGTTTTTCCTTCTTTTTTTTTCTGGACCGGCGCGGTGGTCTGAGGGACCCCATGCGTTCCTGCACAGGAGTATAATAAGCTAAGAGCTTTAGAACAAGTCAACTGTGAACCACATCCTAATTCAGTTAGATACAGATATAAATACGAATGAAAGATACTTAAAGGCATAAAAAGAGTGGAAAAATGTCTGAAAACAATAATTTTATCGAATAGGTTCTCAGAAATGTACAACATTTAGGAAGGACAAGCCGTTTTGTTATTTGTATTGTTACTAGATTGGCCGTTTTTCCGATAATATTGGCCATTTTGGTTTTTTTATGCAACACACTATATATATTGTTTCATATTTTTATTATATTCGTATATCCTAATTCAACAATGTGTCGCATTTGAGATTTTATTTATAACTTTGTAGGTTTCTGAGAAAATTGGGCGTTTCTATAGATTTTTCTTCCACTCTGTATTTTTATTTATATTCATTAATAACTACCAATTGTATAAAAATATTTCAGTGTGTGATGCAAACTTGGTATCTCCACGTTGATATGCAGTTATATATTTTTTCACCGTTGATTTTCTGGATTTTGAAGAAATATGAAAAAAAGGGTATTGCAATTTTACTTCTCACATGTGCTGGATCAATTGTACTTTGTTTGTTTAAGCTTTTGCAGGACGACTTGTTAATTATCATAGAGAGGTAAGTTGATTTATTCTTATTTACTAGTTTACTTCTTTTATAATCATCGAAACATAATATAATAATATGGAATATTTATGATGGTTCTTGATAATTAGTAACACATTATGACAGGTTATAGTAGTTTTCGTTATAAGTCCGTTACCTAGATCTTTACATGCGTGCATGTTTTATGACCGTGCGACCGTTTTCGTGCGATAGGATCATCATAAACCGTTTTAAAGCGATAAACCAGATAACACTTCAATTGTACCCTTGGTTAACCTTGAAATCACAGTACTAAAGCCCTAAAAAGGTAAGCGGTTATGGTAACGCCTTAAATAGGTAAAGAAATTTTGACATTTAATTTCTAAAATTGAATAAAATTCGTTAACACTTATTATAGTTAGTTCTTTCCTCGGTTTATCCTCGGGCAAGTTCGGTTCGGAACTCGATGGATCAGACAGAGAGTGTACGGAGTGCGTGATGTCATAAACAGAAATTATTATTTTTATAATCTCAAGAGAACACTAATGGAATAAAACATGACACTAGTGATTGTTTTCACTCGAACACACTGTGTGTGTTTACGTGTGTGTGTGTATGTGTGTGTGTGTGTGTGTGTGTTTGTGTGTGTGTTTGTGTGTGTGTTTGTGTGTGTGTGTTTGTGTGTATTTGTGTGTGTTTGTGTGTGTTTGTGTGTGTTTTTGTATGTGTGTGTACGTATGTACGTGTGTACGTGGGTACGTGTATACGTGTGTACGTGTTTACGTGTGTACGTGTTTACGTGTTTACGTGTGTACGTGTGTACGTGTGTACTATATACGTGTGTACTATGTACGTGTGTACGTGTGTACGTGTGTACGTGTGTACGTGTGTACGTGTGTACGTGTGTACGTGTGTACGTGTGTACGTGTGTACGTGTGTACGTGTGTACGTGTGTACGTGTGTACGTGTGTACGTGTGTACGTGTGTACGTGTGTACGTGTGTACGTGTGTACGTGTGTACGTGTGTACGTGTGTACGTGTGTACGTGTGTACGTGTGTACGTGTGTACGTGTGTACGTGTGTACGTGTGTACGTGTGTACGTGTGTACGTGTGTACGTGTGTACGTGTGTACGTGTGTACGTGTGTACGTGTGTACGTGTGTACGTGTGTACGTGTGTACGTGTGTACGTGTGTACGTGTGTACGTGTGTACGTGTGTACGTGTGTACGTGTGTACGTGTGTACGTGTGTACGTGTGTACGTGTGTACGTGTGTACGTGTGTACGTGTGTACGTGTGTACGTGTGTACGTGTGTACGTGTGTACGTGTGTACGTGTGTACGTGTGTACGTGTGTACGTGTGTACGTGTGTACGTGTGTACGTGTGTACGTGTGTACGTATGTACGTGTGTAGGTGTGTACGTGGGTACGTGTATACGTGTTTACGTGTGTACGTGTGTACTATATACGTGTGTACTATGTACGTGTGTACGTGTGTACGTGTGTACGTGTGTACGTGTGTACGTGTGTACGTGTGTACGTGTGTACGTGTGTACGTGTGTACGTGTGTACGTGTGTACGTGTGTACGTGTGTACGTGTGTACGTGTGTACGTGTGTACGTGTGTACGTGTGTACGTGTGTACGTGTGTACGTGTGTACGTGTGTACGTGTGTACGTGTGTACGTGTGTACGTGTGTACGTGTGTACGTGTGTACGTGTGTACGTGTGTACGTGTGTACATGTGTACGTGTGTACGTGTGTACGTGTGTACGTGTGTACGTGTGTACGTGTGTACGTGTGTACGTGTGTACGTGTGTACGTGTGTACGTGTGTACGTGTGTACGTGTGTACGTGTGTACGTGTGTACGTGTGTACGTGTGTGTGTACGTGTGTACGTGTGTACGTGTGTACGTGTGTACGTGTGTACGTGTGTACGTGTGTACGTGTGTACGTGTGTACGTGTGTACGTGTGTACGTGTGTACGTGTGTACGTGTGTACGTGTGTACGTGTGTACGTGTGTACGTGTGTACGTGTGTACGTGTGTACGTGTGTACGTGTGTACGTGTGTACGTGTGTACGTGTGTACGTGTGTACGTGTGTACGTGTGTACGTGTGTACGTGTGTACGTGTGTACGTGTGTACGTGTGTACGTGTGTACGTGTGTACGTGTGTACGTGTGTACGTGTGTACGTGTGTACGTGTGTACGTGTGTACGTGTGTACGTGTGTACGTGTGTACGTGTGTACGTGTGTACGTGTGTACGTGTGTACGTGTGTACGTGTGTACGTGTGTACGTGTGTACGTGTGTACGTGTGTACGTGTGTACGTGTGTACGTGTGTACGTGTGTACGTGTGTACGTGTGTACGTGTGTACGTGTGTACGTGTGTACGTGTGTACGTGTGTACGTGTGTACGTGTGTACGTGTGTACGTGTGTACGTGTGTACGTGTGTACGTGTGTACGTGTGTACGTGTGTACGTGTGTACGTGTGTACGTGTGTACGTGTGTACGTGTGTACGTGTGTACGTGTGTACGTGTGTACGTGTGTACGTGTGTACGTGTGTACGTGTGTACGTGTGTACGTGTGTACGTGTGTACGTGTGTACGTGTGTACGTGTGTACGTGTGTACGTGTGTACGTGTGTACGTGTGTACGTGTGTACGTGTGTACGTGTGTACGTGTGTACGTGTGTACGTGTGTACGTGTGTACGTGTGTACGTGTGTACGTGTGTACGTGTGTACGTGTGTACGTGTGTACGTGTGTACGTGTGTACGTGTGTACGTGTGTACGTGTGTACGTGTGTACGTGTGTACGTGTGTACGTGTGTACGTGTGTACGTGTGTACGTGTGTACGTGTGTACGTGTGTACGTGTGTACGTGTGTACGTGTGTACGTGTGTACGTGTGTACGTGTGTACGTGTGTACGTGTGTACGTGTGTACGTGTGTACGTGTGTACGTGTGTACGTGTGTACGTGTGTACGTGTGTACGTGTGTACGTGTGTACGTGTGTACGTGTGTACGTGTGTACGTGTGTACGTGTGTACGTGTGTACGTGTGTACGTGTGTACGTGTGTACGTGTGTACGTGTGTACGTGTGTACGTGTGTACGTGTGTACGTGTGTACGTGTGTACGTGTGTACGTGTGTACGTGTGTACGTGTGTACGTGTGTACGTGTGTACGTGTGTACGTGTGTACGTGTGTACGTGTGTACGTGTATACGTGTGTACGTGTGTACGTGTGTACGTGTGTACGTGTGTACGTGTGTACGTGTGTACGTGTGTACGTGTGTACGTGTGTACGTGTGTACGTGTGTACGTGTGTACGTGTGTACGTGTGTACGTGTGTACGTGTGTACGTGTGTACGTGTGTACGTGTGTACGTGTTTACGTGTGTGTGTGTGTGTGTGTGTGTGTGTGTGTGTGTGTGTGTGTGTGTGTGTGTGTGTGTGTGTGTGTGTGTGTGTGTGTGTGTGTGTGTGTGTGTGTGTGTGTGTGTGTGTGTGTGTGTGTTTATGTGTGTATATGTGTGTGTGCGGACTGTAAAAAATTAATTTTTATCAAATAGGAAATAGGTATAACAAAATAAACAAGAAATAATGCTTGTAAATATGATTAATCATAGATCAGAACATTAACATTTGACATATTTGACACATTTCTACAGGTACCCGCTAATCTCCACCGACCAACTCGGGGAAGAGTGAGTGTGTTTTGAGTACGTGATTTATTGCAAGCCGAACACAAAAGAGTACGCTATGAGTGCTAAGACGACCAAAGTTAAGGCATATCGAGTGCAGTCTGAGTACTGTAAACACGAAACCGAACTCAGCCGAGATAACAAATTTAATTTGCTACCTTGTTAGTATGTTAGTTATAATACAGGTTTTAAGAAACAGGCCGGAATAAAATTATGTGATGTTGATAGATGCCAAAAAGAATTGGATTTAAAGTCTGGATGTTAGAATTTAATAAGAAACATTTTTACAAAAATTTTCGGGTGGTTTCAGCCAGAAACATTTGATTAAATACCTATATACATAAATAATACTATAATAGCAATGCAACTACCAAATTTGATTGAGCGGTTACAATTAAATATGACGTCATAGAAAATAACCAAGTATAACCAATATCGCTTTAGTAAAAACGGTAAATACCGCACATTACCGGTTGATCGCTTTAAATCGGTTACATGTTGCACAAATTACTATTCCAAGGTACTGCACTGATAAGAATGGGGCTGCAATAATGGTACTTTACTAAGAGTAAAAAGCGCATTTGATATTAATATTTAATTAATAAACCTTCGTTATAAAATAAGAGTAATGCATTTCAGTTTGAAATTCATTTAGGTTTACCTCGAAGAAATCTCCTCTCCTCCTGCCTATTCTGTATCTGTTATTTACCTAACAACCATTGTCAACAACAGCTAGATACTTTTGCATGTATATGTTCAAAGATCTTGAATATATTCATCAACCTTAACACTCTTTTGTCTTTTCTTTTGGCTTTCTACCTTATTTAAGGAATATTGTTATCAATGAAAATACCTATTTCAATACTGAAACCAGATTGGTTCCTTGGTTTATGGGTACAATTTTGGGTTATGTTTTAACAAGAAACAATATTAGATGTATCCGTTTACCGAAGGTACGTATAAAAATTAAACAACCTCTAAAGCTACGGTTTGTTAGGGCAGTGCGCGACGCTCGACGTACGCGTACGACAGAATCTGTCGTGTTTGACTCACGTGAGGTTTAGTAGAAGTGGTTTGTTAGAATATCTATCAATTCAACTTGTTCTGTTGATACATGCAGGTGAAAGTGAGCACGAAGAATAATTTTATTGGTATTTAAGTAGTAATGATTAAAATAAAGTATTATTTTTGACTATATTGTCTTTGTAACTTCTCTGCTTTTCACCTAATAAAGTACCAAATGCTTTTCAACCATTCAATTAATATTTCGTCCTTTTAAGAAGAAAATTAATTTCGTCTTTTTATTACTTTAATTATAACACAAATTATCTTAACATCATTTAACTTACCAGTCTAATATATGCTCAACTGAAAGAGTACGTCCAAATCAAACTCAATTTCTTACAATTTCGACGTAATCAGTCGACGTACACTGCTGTCTGCCTAACTGTGATGACTCTAACAAACCATTATCATAGTATTGACATTGTTAGATTTCAGCGGATGTGCGCGGCGCTCAGCAGACTGTGAATTTTGCGTCGCGCACTGTTCTAACAAACCGTATCCTAATATGTACGAGTATCTACGTTCACTAGTCAATGCATACAATGAGTACATTTTTTGGTGAAAGTATACATATTCTCTAACCTGTATAAAGTATTAATAAAATAAATTTCGGTCATCTAAATGAATACTTTTTCTATACTCACATGGATATTAGTTAATCTACGCACCGACTGATATTGCGTTCAACTGAACGAATATATTTCATATCCATTCTAGGTAGTGAAAACACTGCAAAAAAATAAAATCCACCAATCAGAGTTCATATTTTGGACACCCAAATACTATTATTTTTAAAATTTTAAATACTTCTGTCAAACTAATTGTCAGTATATTTTTTAGTAATTGAGATTAAATATACATTAAAATTAGTTATTTTTGTGTAGAATTGATAATAATTTTTATTTTTATTTGGTCTACATTTAAGAAAAAAATAAATAAATAAATTTTAATCAATCTATATAAAACTAATTTAATTATGACTATTAAAACTAAAATCCTAAAAATGGCGGTAGAGATGAGGACAGAGCATCGGCTTTCCACGCGAAAAGTCTGGGATCGAATCTGGACTGGGAACTAATTAAATTAAATCTTTTTTATGTTTATTTTATAAATTATTAAAATAAATAAATTATTTTAAAATTAGTTATTTTGTCGTAATAACTTAAAATAATTTTTTAAATTTGTAGATTTTCGTTAGTAGATAGTAGAAAAAATATACTGTACAACTCGAGTGGATTGTCCTACGGCGTGGTGCTCAAATTTCGTCTTTGTGCGATATGGCCATCATATCTACTTTTGTTTACAAACTACTATTCCCTAGAAGCTACTAAACCAATGACATAACCACTAGAAAGTATTATGTTATTACATGTCGTTTAAGAGAAATGCAATCCAGTGTTATTTAGATGTACCTCAAAGCATCTTTCTCCTGTCTATCATGCTCTATTTATATAAAAACCAATATTAACAAAACATCAGTGCGGATCTGAGAAGATTTTTTGGGGGATGGTAAATAACTTTATTCATCGTCATCTTGTTTTTGCTTTCTCGTAAATTTTGCGAAGACACCCTTTTCTTTAAAATATAATTTTTACAAAACTTACATTTTAGGCTTTAGGCAAGAAAGTATTTTTCAAATATACCACCGGAAACCCCATAAATTTCCGTTTTTTTTTTTTTAATTACATATTAACCCAAGTAGCATTATAGAGACAGAAACTTAGATCGCTACTTCGATTAGGTGACTGTTACGTTATAATCACTATATAGTGAGAATAACTTTATTTTATATTTTCCCAGTTGTAGCCACGTGTATTTCACCACTGGAAATCACTTAAAAGTTTTATATTATTTAGTTGCCTCTGAAGGTGTTTGAAACGTTATAGCCACTTAGCAGGACCTCTTTAAAGTTGCACAAACTTGAATGTGGAAAATACTAGTTACGGCCAACAAATCGTATCACTTAAATACCACCTAGAAGTGGCAGTAATCCTTAAGCGGGTTTGATAGTTTTAGTAACGTTTCGGGAACCATAAATATATCTTTAAAGTGGCGGCACTTGATTGTATAACTGCAGTAGTTCTTGCCACGTTTTTTCCACGCTCTCAAGTGATTTCCACATATTGCCACTTCAAAGTTACTATTACCTTCAAAATTCACAATGAAGTAACCGTTGCCTATAAGTGGCATGCTTTATATATTGTCCGCCTTTACAATAAAGAAAAATGCACTCTATCTGCGACCATCTCACCTCGGGGAACTTATTGGATTTTGCCTCAACGTTTCTCGATGTGAAAAATTTAAATAGCTTGGCCAAAATAAGGTTACTTCTTTTTCCCACATGTCGGGAACAAAGCAGAAAGCAGAAAATTTTAACTTTAAAGGGGGGAAATGGGAGGAAATGGGGCGGAGGGACCTTTTAATGAAAGTCTTTGTTCTTTAAAGTTAGAAACATGAAAATTTAAATTACAGTTTCTAAGCATAAATAAATAATGACTTGTTTCAGGGTTTTTGGATTTTCACATTTTAAGGGTGGAAAACGGGGGTGACTGTATGCGACTATCGATTTTTTTTTTGTTCTCTTTGAAGTTAGAAACATTAAAATTGGAATTGCAGCTACTGACTACAAATTATTAATGATGTGTTTCAGGGTTTATGGATTTTCACATTTTAAGGGGGGGAAATTGCAGTGAAAATTTATTTGGGAGTATCCATGTTTTTGGTTCTCTTTAAAGTTAGAAACATGAAAATTGGAATTGCAGTTACTGAGTACAAATTAATAATGACGTGTTTCAGGGTTTTTGGATTTTCACATTTTAAGGGGGGAACCAGGTATTAATTATCTCTTTGCCAAACTCTTTATTTTATATAACTGACAAATAATTATATAACAAACATGACGGATGTGACTGGAAATAAATTAATTAATTTCTTTTTCGTTGATTTTAATTGAACACTTGGCAAAACCGCGCATATTTTTATTGACAGAGCATGATAGAGATAATTTATGGAGTTTCCAGTGGTATATTTGAAAAATGCTCTCCTTTCTGAAGCCTCAAATGTATCTGTTGGAAAGATAATTGTATTTTTAGGAGAAGGGCGCCTTCGCAATATTTACCGGGGATAATTACCTTGTTGTCCCCCTTGTGTCCGCTCCTGCAAAACACATGAACAACTGAAGGTACCTTTGCAAATTTCTATGATATCAAATATATTTATACACTTTCGTCTTTCATTTTTAATTTTGACTTTCTACTTTATTTAAGGTCTCACAGGTCTCATATCAATGAAAATACGTATTACAAGACTGAAACCAGATTGGTTCCTTGGTTTATGGGAACAATTTTGGGTTATATTTTGACTAGAAACAATATTGGATATATCCGTTTACCAAAGGTACGTGTAAAAATTAAACCACCTTTAGTGACCACGCGTCAGTGTATATCGTCAGGATTTTATTAGCCGATTGTTTATCGAAAAATGTAGATAGTTTGTCAGATAAAACATAGCTCAATTTTGTTTCTTTTTGATCCACTTTTTTTTTAAATAGGTTTTTATTAATATTAAAAAGCTTTTACCGATTATTATGAAATTTTTACAGTTTTTTGACATCTTTATGAGGTGTCTTTAGGACATGTAGTCCAGTAACTAAAGGGACCAACCTGTCATTAAGTCGGTCCAGATTTCCGTTGTGGCTCAACTCTTAGGTCTCGGCGGTCGCTTCCAAATTCGAAAATTTTTACCAACTCTGCTGCGTCGGAAAGGGCCCAAAATGGACCCTAAAACTGGTTTCCCGCCAATATCTTCCACAATATGCAAATTAGAAAATTTTTGTTTAGATACATCTACAAAAATGGTTCCTACCATTTTTTTCGCAAGACGAATATTTTTTGCAAAAACGGCGTTTGAAAAGCCCGAATTTTTGCACTGAATAGAAATGTTAGTTTCTCACTGAATTTCCGCTCGAGGGACTAAAAATTGTCCAATTTGTATATTTTAGAGGATATTAGCGGGAAACCATTTTTTTGGACTTTAGGGGCCATTTTGAGCCCTTTCCGACCCAGCAGTGTTGGTGAAAGTTTCCGCCCTTGAAAGCAACCGTCTAGACCTAAGAAATGAACCACAAAGGAGATCTGGACCGACTTAATGACAGCTTTGCATAACAGGTCTTCAGTTACTGGACTAATGATACAGTTGATTAAGTAATTCCAGAGGCGTGCTCACAAGGCACTTCGATTAGTTCTTGATTATTTATCGCTCACCAGATTTTTCGTACTTTTATTTTTCGGTAAACTAGCAGCTAGTGAAATCCATCTGTTTACTGGGTGGTGGCGTGGTTGCGTCGGAGGGGAGGCATGCAGATGCCAGGATTAACATTCTCTTTTCCCTTTTTATGGCGTATTCCATCCTAACCGCAGTACAATCAGAGGTGGAAAGGTCTGCCATTGAGTGTGCTTTGTATTTCCTAGGAATTTAAATGGCTGTCTAAGGTTGTTGGTTGCTGGGAAACCTAAAAATTGAACCATTTAGATTTGTAACACCTAAAATTTTGGTTTTTATTATCAAGGATTCCTGGATGAGTGCTATTGTATCTGATGAGTGCTATTGTAGTTTCCAGCTCATCAAGGCGGCGGCATAATGTTGCCGTAGTCACCCTTTTGTGCTGCAAGTTACATTGTATGATCGTTACCTCTTTTGTTGCTTCCCGGTCATCCGTTGAAAATTGAGCAGCAAGGCAGTTATTTATTCGACTATCCCTTCCTCCGAAAGTGGGGAGGGGGTGGTCTCTTGTGACTTCTCGGAGTTTTCTTGCTGAAGGTCATCGATTGCCATTTTTTCTGGCTTGATGTCCTCCACTGTTGGCTTAAATTTGGGGAGAAGAAGGTCCTTTACCAAGGAGTCTTAACTGGGCCCCGCTTCAGCCTCTTTTTCGACCTTTTGTCTAATATTCAATGAGATGAACGGATAGCTCATCCTCATTGATTTGGCTTTTATGATTCCCATGTCTTCGTCTCCGATACCAAAGACGAAGAGGTGCCCTTAGGGTCTTTTTTGATTTCATGGTGGAAGGTGCACCATTTCGCCACATGCACATGCAAGTTTGAGTTTTGCCTCTCAAGTCACCTGAGCACAACCTCTTTCTCATCAAGGTTAGCTTGCGCTTCTCGTGGGATCCAGAGAGGGGCTTTGATGAGCTTGGGGAGCTCGTCCATCCTTATAACTGCAAATATTTCTCCTTCTTATATTTTTAAGGTTGGTACCTTGGTTTTTAACCATTCCAAAGTCAGGTCATCGTCACTTTACTCTGATGATTTCACCAAAGTGCGTCCAAGATCTGAATGCGGATTGCTTGGTTTTGCTGCAGGAGGCGGACACAGCTCTCCCAGCAGTATCTTTTTGACAAGGATTTTTCTTTCGGTAGTTATCTTATCGTAAAGGTTATCCTTGTCTATTATAGCTACTTTTAGGTAGCTCGTAGCTGCATCCTTGTAGCTTATCCCAGACAGAACTTTGTGGTCCTCTCTGGGTTTTTTCCCCTTCAGGGCGTTACTTCGGAAGAGGTGTAAGATCGCGGCCTTTTTTTGTCCCTAGTAGCATCGTGTTCTTTGCCTCTTGTGGAGGCAGAACTAGCGTCATTGTCTAAGGACTTGATTAAGCCGCTTTTCTTTTATTTGGAGTAAGGGAGTTTGCTGAGGGTGGCGGTTGCCATAGCATTGCCTCTCTGCAGCTTATCCCTCTTCCTCCTCTTTGTTTCATACCCAGAGATTATCTTGCCTCTCCGGGGCCTGTTAGTTAGAGGTGAACTACTTTGTCCATCCTTCTTTTTTGAAGTCCGTCGCTGTCCAGCCTTCTGTGCGGGAGCTAAACTTTGTTGTCAGGCTCCTTTGTAGCGTTGACGTCCGTCCTCCTTTTTTTGAGGTGATCGTCACTGTCCAGCCTCCTGCGCCGGAGTTGGACTTTGGTGTCCAGTCTCCTTTGCTGGAGGTGAGCGTTGACGTCCAGCCTCTTTGGATTGTTTGTATTTGTGTATCCTTATGGTTCCCGCGAGTAGCTAGGGAAGGAAAGGTCGACCGACGCAGAGCCCCGCATGCGCCGGCAGGTCTAGATACAATAGGGTGTCGCCAGGTTCCCACGGGGGAGCGTTTGCTGCCGCATCTGCCCCTGCGACAATTCATCCGTCGGCACGTTACCTTATACCTTAGATTGGGGGAGTTGGTTCGCAGCGGTAGCTTCCGCAAAAGGGAACCAGAGAAAACCTGACCATTCTCCTATCCACCACCCGGAGACGGGCTCAGTTGGCACTCAATTAATAATTATGACTTGAGTCACTAACTAGAATTATTTAAAATAGGTAAGGTACTCATACTCGTTACTCGATTTTTTCACACGTACTCTCTAAAATTTGAAAAGTACTCATTTGCTTTGAGTATTATTCATGTAAGTACTCATACTCAGATATTTATGAGTACTTTATAAAGCTACTCATTGTGAAATACTCATGAGTACTTTAACGCAGTATTCTGGTCAGCTTTGGTACTAACTACATTTTTATATGAAAGTTAACATTCAATTTAGAATTTAGGTTAGACTTTGACTAGTAAATACACACATTTTTAAACTTGATTTAGTCAAAGTATAAATAAAATAAACCTTGGGCATTCTAATACTGAATCCAGTGACATGATAAAATGTTGTTAGTAAAATAGTTTATTATTACCTACTTAAATTGTATATATTTTGTTTGTATTTAATTTTAATAAATGTGATAAATGCAAATAATAGCTATTTATGAAACTAGTTACGAAACGCCTTATTTATGCAACTAGTGAATATTTGCGGCATTTCGTAACGTATTACATACAATAATTGAATCGCTGATTGCAGAAAGGGTACAAGTCATGTTTTCGCATATGTTGAGATTTTTACGTGAATCGACAGTTCAACCCAAACCTCATCGATGTGCGCATAAAGGATACATATTCTGATAAACACCATGTAAAATAATAATTCATTTCAATAACGTTGAGTGCAGAAAAGGTCTAAGTCAATTGACTTGTAACCTTTATGCAGTCAATCGGATCGCAAGGTGGCGCTGAAATATCGGTAGTTGTTATTTTAATTTTCTGTCAGTTAGATTATTTTGTCCAGCCATGGATGACGTAAATAATTTAAAACGTAAAAGAGGGGTAGTTAACTGCGATGGATATAAAAGGAATATTATTAAAAAGTGCCGGTAAGTTTTAGTCGTTATAATAAAACATAATCTATTGAATTTTTTAATTTTTTTTAGTGTTTAAGGCCAAGAGTACGTAAATTATAAAGGTAATGTTGTTCCTGCTAAATATGTTGGAGACCCATGTAACTGCAGGTACAAATGCTTGGAAAAGATTACTAATGAGCAGCAGCTAGAGGCATTTGAAAGATTTTATATTTTAGCTACAAAGGACAAACAGGACTTGTATTTACAGGGACTTGTTTATGTTTCTAGTATCAAAACTCGCCGCCCACGAGTACAACAACTAAGGTAGAACAACAAACGTAACAGTAGTTTTAAATATTACGTACTGATTGCAACTGAAAGAAAAATGATTTGTAAAAAGGCATTCTTATCTCTTCACTCCATCAGTAATAAAAGATTACAACGTATTCAGCAGTTGTTACAAGCAGGAGTTACGCCTACAGATAAAAGAGGAAAACAAGTCAGTGATAATGTTATCCCCGCCGAAGAAAAGATTCGTGTTCATGAGCACATAAATTCGTTTCCTGTAAAAACGTCCCATTATTCTTCCAGAGAATATCATTATCTTAGCTCAGAATTGACAGTAAGGACCATGTATTCGATGTTCAAAGAAAAATATCCAAACTTAAAGATTAAGTACGAATACTACAACAGAATTTTTAAGGACGATTTTGATCTGAAGTTTGGTAGGCAGCAGGTCGACACATGCTGCACTTGTAAGAATCTTTTAATTAAAATTAAGAGTACCTAAGAATCTAAATGAGAATGCTGAAAGAGTTGCTATTGCTGAATTGCTTGTACATAAAAGACGAAGTGAAAAGTTTTACACGGCACTGCAGGAGTCAACGAAGAAGAGCAAAGAGTCTAATAATGTAGTTGCCCTTGCGTTTGACTATATGCAAAACTAACAGCTTCCAAAAATACCAGTACAGGATTTATTCTATTTAAGACAATTAACAGTAAGCGTTTTTTGCATCCATAACATGAAGACTGACCAAGTTGTTTACTTCATTTATCATGAAGGTTGTGGCAAGAAAGGCCCTAATGAAGTATGATCCTTCCTTTACCAGTAAATAAAGGAATATATACCTGATAGTGTGAGGGAACTGCATCTCTTTAGCGACAATTGTCCTGGTCAAAACAAAAATAACACCCT